CAGGGCATTTGTGTGGCTATTACAGTTCATATCGTAAAAGTCTACGACCTGAAAATAACCGCATTTGTTTTGCTACCGCGCCGGCCGTTTTCATCCGCTCTTGTCATTCGCATTGCATCTCGAAACGCAATTGGTTATTATGGCTTTGACTGACACCTTTGTTCCTTTTATTTTGAGATAAAACGTCATTGCGCTCCGCGGGCGGGACGGACGGCTGGCTGAGGCCGCGCGCCCCGGATGCGGGACGACGGGCTGTCATCATGGAAGTCGAAAGGAAAGAACAACATTGGAACCCGCCATAGCCGCGATTGGAAATGAACAAACAACAACAAAAGTAATAATAACGTGTAGACAGACATGCGCGCGTGGCAGCTGGGGCAGCGGCGAGCAGCTCGCCGCCAAACTAGTGACAGTCCAATCAGACATCAAGTCCGCACGGGCAGGACGAAAGGCGGCCGCCGGGAATGGTAAAACGGGGGGGGGGGGGGGGGGACCCCCCCCCCCCCCCCCCCCCCCCCCCCCCCTGAGATTGCGTTTGCCTGCTCAATTTCGCGCTCGCTATTGCTGGAAATGCAAACACCCCCTCCCCCCCTGACGGCAGAGGTGAGCCCGGTGAGTGCGGCGGAACTCCATACCCCCCACCCCCTCTCGATCGCCATCTTTTTCTATCGCATTATCAGTCATAACAACTCCTGAGCATCTGTAAAAAAAAAAACACCAACTCTGCCCCGCGCCGCAAAAAAAGAACAAGAAAACAAAACAAAAATTTCAAAAGGACGCAAAAGTTAATTTAATAATTGGCAAGCCGTTAATGAGACTGTGAGTGGGATCCAGCTGATGCCGGATGCCCTGAGCCCCCGATGCCCGATTCATTTTCAATGTTCACTTCAATATACGATGGATGAGTCCAAGCCGGGCGGACCATGCGGAAGAAGCAGCCGCAGCAGCGCAGCCAATAAGGCATATAGTAATGCTTTTCATTTGCAGATCGAGTCGAGAGTCTTTTTCACGGTGGCATCGCAACAAAAATTAAAGCCAGGCGGTAGGAAGGTGGAGAGGGGAGAGGAGGGGTAGGGTATGTGCAAACTCCCTGCGGAGAGCATAAGACGACGGCGGCGTTGCCGCTGCCTGCATAGCAAGCAGCACAGCATCGGTTACAGTCGAAACGAAAAACAAAGTGAAAAATAAATTTAAAAAAACAACAAAAAAAAACAGAAGCACTCGCGATAAGTATGTAGTCTCGGATCGGTGTGAGGTCACACTCGGGGTCATGCCCTCTGACTGCTTCGACCTCCTGCCCTTCTCAGTGCGCCGTCAGCTCATTGGGGCGCACCGCAGAGGGGCGGGCCGGGGTGGGGTCGCCAAACTTTTGTCTCCCAACAAAACGAAAACGAGACGGCAGAAAGTAACAGTAAAAGTCAGACTGACGCGGCCTGACTGGGCGAATAATTAGCTCCCGTTTACACGAGTGGAGGAAGGGCAGAGACAGACAGCGGGCCTTTTTTTAAAGTTATCTTTCTAATATTCATTTTTCATTATTTTATTTTTTTGCAGTGTGCCTTCACTAAGAGAGTCATATCGATAAAAGTGTACTGGCGCGGGTGACAAATTGTAATGGGGTAGGAATAACAAACAGCGGATGCCAGGCGGATAATTGAATCGTGATTTTTTATTGGAGTAAGAAACATAATAGGGCTGCACCTGGTGGATTAATTACTTTTCATTAATTACTTTTCTCAAAGGAAAATTTGAGAAATATACAACAAATAAATGCGCAAAACAAAAACAAACGTCAGCCCGGGGTTCTCGAACAATGAGGGAGTTGCATTCGGGCCGTTACTGCTTTAAATTTGAAGATGCTAGCAACGCGCTAGAGATTACGCTGTCGAGCACTTCGAACAAACGTCCGTTCGCGTCACACGGAACTTCCACCAGAGGAACACGGAGCCACCGGCGGCGGTCAGCAGTGTGGTCCACGAAGCACCTCTCCGCGGGGTCGTGGGCGAAGAGGCCAAGTCGCGCGGGCTCGAAGCCAAGGGCCCTGGCCGTCCTCTCATCCCACAGCTCCTTGTGGCAGCTCTGCAGGCACACCTTGCAGTACTTGAGAGTGCAGTAGTTCGCCTGCAACTCCAGGTGGAGCGAAGGCCTCGCCGACATGAGGCCCTTGACCATGTCGCCCTGGTGGAGCCATTCGTGGATGCACTCGACGTCTTCCAGGCTCAGTTCGACCCTCTGCAGGGCCGGCACCGTGTCCGGGCAGAGGAGGGCGAGCAGTAGCTCGGTGGTCACCGCGCCCACCTGCAGGTGCCGCAGGTGCGGCAGCGAGGGCAGAGTGCTGATCAGCTGCTGCAGCTGTGGGCACGGCTTCAGGTCGGGGGACGGCTCCCACTGGAGAACGGGATGCACTTGAACGTGTACTTGTCCTTCCACGAGCACATTAATTTGCACTTCCCCGGGTACCTCGACCCCATAAACGTAGTTGTTGTTCTGGATGGTCAGCTTCTCGACGCGGGAGGGTCGTGACGAGGCCAAAGCCAGGACAAGGTCCACGCCGGCGAACAGATCGGCGTACGGCCTGTGCGGGAACGTGTACTCCAGGGTCACTTCACGCAGGTGCTCGGCGCGCTGCAGGAGTTCCGCGGCCTCCTCGACGGCGGACGGGGTCGAACAACCGGCTTGTTTGTAGTGCATGCTGAGGTGGAGGACGGTAAGCGACTCATGGGGAACGGCCCCCAGCCCAGGGTGGCAGTCGCACGTCAGCTCGCTGAGGTTCGGCGCGCCCGCCAGCAGGGACAGAGTCTCCGGGTGAAAGGTCATGATCCCCCCGTCGTAGCACGTGTACCTGATGAGGTGGACCCCCTCGAGAGTGGCGGCGTGCGCGACCAGGACGGCGTTGACGAGATCCTCCGTCCACGGGTCCAGGTTGCAGTGGAAGCGCTTCAGGTGCGGCGCGGTGGCGCTGCTGCTGCACGCCACGGCAACGGTCGGGTCGGGCCTGAACACCAGGGACAGCGCGAGGCCCTCCAAGCCCGGCACCGACAGCACGGTGCACAGCAGCGCGGAGACGCCCGCCCCCGTGCCCTTGTACGCGGCGAGGTCGACGAACCTGAGCCGGCCGAGCGCCTCCTGCCGGCGGACGAACTCGGCGGCCTTCGAGGCCACGATGCTCCCGTTGACGACCAGCCGCAGACGAGCCGCGGCGCAGCCCGTCGAGGAGTACAGGGCGGCGGGACACCACCGGGGCGGCGGCAGCACGACGTGGAGCGCGCCGAGGCACGGCGACAGGCGCAGCACCGGGCACACGCACTGCGTCAGGACGCCGACGTCGTCGTCGCCGCCGGCCCACTGCCGCCGCCGCCCCTCGCCGTCGTACGGGTTGAAGGGGCGGCGCGCCCACACGCACGGGTGCAGCACCAGCGCGCCGACCCGCTGGCTCACCAGCCGGCACGCCAGCAGGTCCGGCACGTCCAGGTACTGCAGCACCATCACCAGCACCTCGTCCAGCAACGCCTCCATGTTCTGTAATCAGAACATTTCGGCCTGTTATACGTACACGTTGTTTGAAGTGCGTGGCAAAATGTGGCCAACGTTGTGTCGTGGTAAGTGCGTGACAAGCATGACATTCACTGAAATGTGTATACTTGTGCGACACCAAAGAGTGTACGCGACATGTTTGTGACACGACTAGCATGCACATTTTTTTTTGTGTGTGTGATAGTGTGGAAAGTACTACTTCGAAGTTTTCGAATGTCTTGCGTTTGTAGAGAAGCTGCTTAAAATCTCACCCGCGGAGCGCGAAGACAGCGGTTTTGCTCTGTGTATAGGCCTCACGTCGCATCCCGCTGCAAGTATACTGAACCGGAAAGCGAAGGGTAGTATAAAGCATTCCGGTAAAGCTGGAATGCAGAAGAATGCAAGGAAGAAGAAAACGTAAGTCACCACGTAAAAGCATAGCGATTTCCGTTTTCTTCCTCCTCGCATTTTTCTGCATTTCAGCTTTACCGGAATGCTCTATTGTGGACCATAATCTCGGCCACACAGACGTTAGTTTTGCCTCCGGCAATGCCTGGGTGGCCCACAACGCCCCAGCTATATTCAACTAAGCATTTCTCTGAGCTACGCGACCCCAAGCGTGCGCTTCTGCAAGCGTGAGCAGGGCGAGGGGCAGGGAGCGGGGAGGAACGGCGCCCGCGATCCACGCAGCGCCAAGCGGAGCTCACGCTTGGGTCACGCTTGGGCCACGCTTGGGGGCGCGTAGCTCACGAAAAACGCTTATTTGAATATAGCTCCTCACCCCTAGAGTTATTTTGTGTGAGGGATGTGGAGGGGGTGGGGGGGGGGCACGACGTTTGTTTGGAGGGATAAAGTCACTTTTCATCCAACTCGTTTCAAAATCAGAGATCAATAGAGGTTGTCCCTGCCTTCTGCGGCAGTGCACACTCTTAATAACAAAGTTAACACGGCCTACAGCCGCGTAGTCTCCAAGAAGGGGCCCCGTCGCGTCGCGGTCACGCGGGGTGGGCCTTGGCGACTCCCTTGCGTCTTTATCGGCTATCTACACCCTACGCCCCCGACCCACCCCTCCCTCTGACGGCCTACCCACTGAAATCGTTTTGATGTCACTGTCAAGATTTGGTCATTTTCGTTTTAAGTTTTTATGATATGTTAACATCAAATGACATCCAACGATCTCAAATAAGAACATCGAAACGTAAAATGACAATAACCAAAAATCTTGTCTATAACATCAAAATGACGTCATTTTGACAAAATCCGTTTCACTGGGTACTGCCTGCCTACAGCGCCTGCGACCCAGTATCTACGGCTGAAAGACGTGCGCCAGACATGTCACACGGCCGTAACAGTGTCACAGTACTCGCAAGCCTGTTACGCGAGACGTGGCCTTGGCCAACACACCGAGCTAGTCACACGTTACGTAGCAAGCATCTAGCTGGTCGCACCTACCTTTGAGCTGAGTCGATGACCTCTGACCGGACGGTGTAGACCGGTGTTGACAGGCGCTCCGAGCTGAGGCAGCTGTGGGGGCCGTAGATTTTGCGACCGGGCGAGTAACGGCGGTAGCGGCAGCAGAATGGGGAGTGAGGTCCGGCGTAGAGTTGTCTCCAGCGGCCACACACAGAAGCTCGACCAGCTCGGCCTTCTTGTCGATGCGTGGCGCAGGTGCGCCCCCTTTATACTGCAGCTGCTGCCGCCGGCGCAGCGCCGCGCAGGGAGGGAGAGAGGCTGTGTCCGAGTCAGTCCCCAAACAGCCAAGACGAGCACTCCGTCCGTAGTCGGTCACCCGAGGGAAGCAGACCAGGCGTCTTCGAGCAGTGTACATTCACAGGGCACTGTAGTCTACGACGGATCGGGGCATCGGGGGAAAGGACGCAATATAATGGCTGAACCCGGCCCGCACGCTCCTACTCGCTGTTGCTGTCACAATTACGTGCGCATCAACGTGCGCCGCGCGAGGAACTCCAGGGCATGCCAGGCAGCAGCGGAAGCGAAGCAGCGAAGCGGAGCGGCGGCGGCGACTCGAGTTCGGGTTACAGTCGTCGCAGCATTACTTCCGTCTTCGGGTTCGGAGTTCGGCCGTTCCCCCTCCACAGCCGAAAACGTTCCGATTGGCTCAGGAAGCTATTCGGCTGTCACGTGACCTAAAACCCGAAGACAGAAGTAAAGCTGCGCCGACTGTAGAAGCGAGCAGAAGCGGCCCGGCCGGCGACTCTGGCTGTTGGCTCGATGGGGCGGGGGGC